TTTTTAGTTGATTTTCTATCTGTGCTTGATGTTTTTTTACCTTCAGATGTTTCAGCTATAAGATTATCATTCAGCAGTTTAATTCTAATGTAAGTCCTTTGGAGAATAAACGCTTTAATTAAATCTTCAGGCACATCACATTTTTTTTTTATTAATTTAGTTAATCTTTTAACAATATTTGATTCGGTATCAATTTTTTCTTTGTGAAACTTTTTAAAGAGGGTTTCAAAAACTTTAGCTTGCTTAACCCAATCCGTAGACGGTTCAGTTAAACCACCAAATGACAGATGTTGAACCCAACTTGGTGCGCTATATGAATGATCTGGTTTTTTGTCTTTGGTATAACAACCCAAGTGGGGATATTTGTTTTTAAATTTACGGGCAAGCCAACCACACAAATAAATAAAACCATCTTCTTCATTAGTTGTTGGAAGATTATTTTGTGTTGATGATGATTCAGATGATGACAAACTGCTATCAGATAAATCATTTTCTTCGTTATTGAAAGGGATGTTAACATCTGCAGTTGCTATTACATTTGCTACCAAATATTCTTCCAAATTTAATTTTTCCTGTGGTGTTTCAATATTAAGTTTGTCCTGTACTACCCCCGGGTTTTTACCGAGCACAATTATTCTAATTCTGTACATTGCATTTAGGGGAGTAGGGTGGTCATTAAGTCCTCCCCGACTTCTAATTAATGAAAAAAAACTTTCAAGACTATCTTGATTAAGTCTGTGAGTGACTATATAAGATATATTATATTTATCTTTCAAATCTTCAAAAAGTAATTGAGTAGATTTTATGGAAATCAAAATTCCTTTTTGAAATGTTTGTAAAGTATTTTTGCCTGCACATCTCATTGAATATATTACCTTATACATTTTATCCAAACAATTATTCTGGTCTTCTAAATTTAAGCCATAAGGCTTTTTGGTGCACAAAGTTTCAGATGGTGTATAAGAATTCATTATGTCAAACCAGTTACTTACAACTTCAATAAAGTGACCAGTATTTTCCGATAATACCTGATTTAAACCTGGTTTATAATGGATCAAAGCTGTAGCAACACTATGGGAGAGTAATTGTGCGGCTAATCCGACATTTTGTCTCTCGGCCTTTACACATTCCAAATGTTTCTGTGATAATCTATGACAAACTGAAATTTCTGTATTAGTTACTTTAAGTAACTCTTTTAATGGTGTTGCATTTATCATACAACCGTCTGAAAGAATAAATCCTGTGTCTAAAAGCCAATTTCGAATTAGTTTAAGAAGATGTGGGGCATCTGCCAAAAAATAAATTTTTTCTTTTGTGTTAGGATGTAGAAAATATGTTTTGTCAATAGTTATACCCAACTTCTTCCATAACCCAACATTACCACCACCACAATCAGATACACAGGCAACCACATTATATGAATTTTCATATAA